ATCGGTTCCCGAGATAGCCGTTGGCAGTTTCCAAAATGTTGAAATAGTCAACATTTTACCTTTGGTGACCTCTGGTGACCTGACCTTTGACCTGACCCAAAAATGACCGAAGTGTTTTCGTCCTTATTTTTGACGTTCTTTCGATTGCTGCTTTCTGCGTGTCGCTACGTGGCCCAGGAGCCGAGTTAGAAGGGGGGTGTTCAGACACCCCCGCGGCCCGGCGCGGAATCTCAGAGCACCGGCCCGGCGCGGGTTAACAGTTGTTTCCGGTAATAGAAAATGAGATCAGTCGATTAAGAATCCCAACAAGAAATAGACGAAGAACGGCGCATTTGTTTTCGGTACTGCATTTATTGATGCAATTACAATGAACATTCCTTAACTTTGGGACTAAACTTCGCGAGCTAGCAAAATTATACAATAAGTGTTACTTTCGAGAGGAGATAAACGATGCTTCTACAGACTACATAGGACCACAGCGCAACAGCCAACGGAATCACACTGAACAGCGTTAAGTTCCCACAACATACTGAGCTTCTTCAACACCTCGCAAACCAAAAGCTCTGACTGAGCCTTTCTGTGTTTGTCCCCGTTAGATAACGGTATGGCTCATGAAAAAGCCGCGATTGGTAATCTTCTTTACGTTATTCCTCTCAGAAACCTATCTCGCACTATTAGTTAAGTTAGTCTAATTTCAATAATGGCACAAGTAGGTTTGGGTTGTAGATGTAGGTTGTAGGTGTATTTTAGGATCAGCTCACAACTTAATATCACGAATATGACAACCTTCTAGTCCTCCATTTATTTCACATTTTATTTTCAAACACCATATTTTTAGTATTCAAGTTGTAGTTTTTTAGGGGGGGGGCAAAAAGATATGTTTGCCCAGAGGTTTTCCGTTTAGGGGGGGGGGCAATTGCCCATTTTGCCCCAACGTAGATCCGCCACTGGATGCGAGAACTACACATTTGAGAGTCAACGGCGGGATAGCGAGCGGGGACGATGAGTTGACAGTGGAATAAGCCAAAAGCTCAGAGGTGGCAAATCTGACCAACAACGAGCAATCCACTGTTCGAACCCATTAGCCATGGCACTTGTATAGGCATTTACAGACATGTGAAAGCTTTGTACTTATCACTTGACGTTTCCTCCAAATGTACAGCATTGCCTTCATTTATATAAATGTTAGACGCAAATACAATGCCTTTGAAAAGAAGAATTTTGTTTGGAGCACATCGAGACTCGTGGTGCCGTGTTTTCACATGTCCGTTTCTAGCTACAGGTTATTTATTGAGATGTCTGCTGTGTTTTTTTAATATTTTGCACAACCCGAGTGGAATAGTAGTAGGAGGCATCGATAAAAGAAAGCACTGCGCCATCTTTCGTTACCAAATCCGCTTTATTTGGAAATGATTCTATAAATGATGTCGGATATTTATCTTCGATGTGATGGGTCTTGACATGCTATTCTCTTTATATTTATTGAAGGTCTTCAAACGTTATAGTTTACCCCAAACCCCAGCATGATAATGAAACTTTTATGGCAGCACCCAATACCCATATAGCTAAAAACTCATGTTTTATCTTTTCGACAGTACCCTTCGTTGGTATATTTGTAGACATCGATTTTTTGTTGTAAATCGATAAACAACAAAAGCATTGCTGGAAGTGGCGCAAATACCATTAGGTATGTAGGTCTGTAGCGACGCCTACAGCTATTCAAGAGCTTAGCAAGTTGCAAAGCATTCTTTTTCAGGGACTGGTTTTGCTCATTAAGCTTGACAAGTTTTTCAGCATGCATTTTTGATACCTACCACACATCCGAACAACCTGTAGCAAAGACCATGATGTTTTTAAAGCCATCTTTTTTATTCAAGAGCAACTGACTTTGCTTAACGGAAAGTGCAAGGACAAACGTCAACGTTTGTCTGTCGCTAAACAACCCATTGACATTGCAGAGGTTAGTGCTATCCAGCACATAACTGCATGTAAATGTTGAATTATGCAAGTCGTACAGCTCAGTTTGGCTGCTGAAGTGCGCGCTGACCTTCGCTTGGCGGTCCATCACTCTGTATTGCCCCCGGTCACCCCTGCAGCGTCGTGACGAGTGGCGTGACGGCGCGGTCACGGCGCCGCAATCGGCCTGTATGTCTGGGTGTGTGTTTGTGTGTATGTGTGTGTGCCTTTAGCCATTAGCCGGGCACCGAACGAGCGCTCACCACGCCAAGTTTGCTGAGCGGACGGCGCACGGTGGGTCGATGCCCCGTTGCGTTCGTCGTGGCCCAGCCGTGACCTGACCCGTGCGGGCCCAGTTCTCGGCCGTGACAGCAGCGTGCCGCGGTGCCGGCGCCGGCCCGGTCACTGAACGGCACGGTGTCATCAGACGGGTCGCCGTTAATAATTACAGCTCCTCACACGTGGGAAGGCCGCTTCGGCGCGCACAAAGAGCTGAATGAAGCCGAGTTGGCGAGGTGTGTTGAAACGGCAGCTGACCGAGCCTCCTGGGACCGCGGCGGCCGTGTCACCATTCACCGCACCTGCAAATGCGTGCAACGAAATCGATAATTACTCATGAAATGGGACGGTGGAGCGCTGGACCATTGAAAGGTCCGTGTTTAATGGGCGTTAATTTTCCCGACCGACTGGCCGACGTGAAGTGGGGCTCTCAGAGGATATTGCGTTATTTCTTTTATCGTCTGATATTGTTAGGCTGCGTGCTTGTTGTGACCTCGTGATGACGGTGGACAGTGACGTGTGCTAACGAAAACAAAATACTTCTTTATCTATTCTGTATTCCATTTTCTAATCACGCTTTCCTCTATGTACACGTAAATACGTCCCATACCTACCTTACCAGTTACCTAATCCAAATACATACGCACTACACAGTGCATGTCTACACTCTGACGTGAAATGGGAGGGAGGTGCAAAACGATACGATAAAATTTAGATCCCTGAAAGGAACGTATATAGGTAGGTACTACATATTTTTGCATAGGTATGGTATGGCATTGATAATTGTTACGAAAAAAATGGCAGAATGCAATGCTCGATATCAGTAGATATCGAGAGTCGCTTAAGGTGTTGCATGAAACTTTATGTCAGAAGCTATGCTGCTGAATACATACCTAGTTATTCCTTTCTGTTAATTTTAAGATAAGGGCCCTCCGGCTCTCATACAACCAGAGGTCCAAACGTGGCGCCTCTGTTTCATCCACCGATTACTACGTCTGTGTTGCCAGTGATTCGCTTGTCCTAGACAAACCATAGAGCTATGGTTCAGTGTATTTACATCTCCTGTCCATAGATGGCGCTGCCTGTCTTGCGCCTGAAACATGCTGCGCCGCAGTGCTCCGCTTTTTCAGCCTTGTCCATAGATGGCTCTGCCTGTCTTGCGCCTGAAGCATGCTGTACCGCAGTGACGGGTGGCAGCTTTCAAGTTGTGTTCATAGATGGCTCTGCCTGTCTTGCGCCTGAACCATGCTGCACCGCAGGGACCCTCCTAATTCTGTCCATAGATGACGGCGACGCCCTCCGTGTGCCTAAAATATTCAGCGCGGCAATGTGCAATGTGCGATGTGCATCCCAAAGCTAGCTGTATACACGAGAAGTGCGTTTTTTTATGGCAACGCATGGTTGGAGTTGATCATGCACCAAAGTGCTTTGCATCTTTCATACACTTTACGAGGATTCCGAAAGGCTATGCGATAATGAAGACTAAGTTAAGCCGTTTATTTTTTACCGCTGTCATTGGGTGTACCGTGTAGTACTAAAAAAGAAAGCACTGTACGTGCCTTCAGATCCCATGTGTGGTTCAGAAGAAGCACAAGACATGTCCCCGTCCTCTGTACCCCGATAGCAGAGCCTATGCACAAGAACTGATTCGAGCGACATCCACTCCTCTGATAGCGTGGGCGGCTGAGTGACCATGCACTACATATCGATTGCCGACGAGCTATTAGTATCATCGTGGGCAGACCCCGCCGACGACAGCGGCTGTCTCCAGAGCCCAGAGTGCTCCTTTGTCCCGTGGGACAACACATGCAAGACCAGCCCCCCATTTCCCAACCATCAGCAATTGGTGCGAATGGTCTCACAATTAGCAGTGTGACGTCACTGGTGTAGAGGTGACGTCGTTGTTCGAAAAGCAGGGAACGGTATCGGTACACGCAATGATTCATAATGCATTCTACTGATTTACGAGATTTCTTATATTTATGACGGAGTTTGCTGGTCATGCTTCACCTCAATAAAGTTACGAAATTACGCGTCATGCTGCGATGTGAAGCCCTGCAAATGGATCCAGCCACTTCTCCCCAAACGTTAACGAACACCACGGCTTAGTGTCTCGCTCTGCATTCACGTCAGCTAAGCATATTTGCGATGTAAATGCAATGCGATTTCTTGTTGTCATCGTGGTGCCTGAATGAGTACGGTGCTCGGACTTGGTTTAGACATTGTTTCATATCTTCTTTTAGAAGATTCAGGCGTCCTACTAAGGACTAAGGAAATTCAATCTTGGCGAGTATCGTATTATTTTGTAGCGTCATTGGTTGGCGGGTGAATCCGCGAGGCGCTCTGGACGGTCACGGTCGCCACTGCCGCCCGCTGATCAATTCTACTGGCAGCTGGGCCGAACCAGTGGCAGCCTGTATGTGCCGCCGACACGGCAGGGTCAGAGGTGCGACCGCTGCGGCCCGTCCCGGCCATGGCACCCACGTTGCCGGGTGTGCCGGCGGCGGCGGCACCTCGGTTCACCTAATGGTCGGATCGATGTGGGCCGGTGGCCGGCGGTCGGCCGCGCTGCTGTTGATTCAGTAGCCCCGGCGACGATCCGGCGGTGCCGGCGACAGCCGCGGCTCCTCGGAGTGGCCGACACTGCCGTCTGCAGCGTCCCGCAGGTGAGAGAGGGCGGCCCGCGGCCAACCGGCGCACACTGCCCGCGGCAACAGGGGCGTCAGCGGCCGGAGACACCGCGGGGACAGCGACCCGGGGAGGACAGACGACACAGCCTCGGCAGCGAGCACCGAGGGACTGAGAAGCGAGCCGATCAGGCAGTCTGGCCTTCGAAGTCAAAGGTCATGGTAGCCGCTGTTCCAAACTTGGGAAGCCTGTTGGAGAGAAACGCATTTGAAGTTGAAGATTGAAAACATTCCGTGAAGTGCTTGGACTGCCGCCACCTGCTCCGATAGTCGGTAAGCGCTGTGCTGGTAGCTACTGGGTGTGACTACTGGCTGCTGTGCTGGTGGTTACTGGCTGTGACTGCTGAGGCTGCTGTGCTGGGGTGGTAGGTATTCCTGAGACTGCCATTGGTGACTGTGTCACTGCCGGTGTGACCGAGACAGCCGGTTAGCGACTGACCCCGTATCTGCCCCTACTGCTGGCGGCGGTGTGTGAGGTCTTCTGACCGGCCCTGTCAGACGGTGGTCCTGTGAACAATAGGTCCTGTGAACTGTGAGCCCCATGACCCGACCCTGAGGGACGGCGGATCTGTGATCAGCACTGCCCTCTGAGGCGGTGGTTCCTGTGATCATCACTAATCTGCAAGCGGCAGCGCCGTGACCTTCTCGCCTGGGACCGTATGGTGGCCACCGTTCGTCAGGAATCGCAGGATGAGCCACTGGTGGTGACCGAGTATGACCAGTCTGCTCCGCTGCCCCGACCGCCCGCGGCCGCCGCCGACCAGCTAGAACGCTCAGGTGAGTTGGGGTCACCTCAACAGGGAGCTCAGAGCGGGTGGGGTCAATCAGTCTGAGCACGCACGTCGGTCAAGTTCATTTTAGAGTTCATCATTCAGTGGCAGCGGCCGCGTGGACTGACTGACGTAACGAAATGATGAGAGACATGACGAAACCGACGAAACGAAATGTTGGGTAGAGACACATCTCAGCTAAAACTAGTTGTAGGTATTTTTGTGATGTGTTGTACCTTGTAACATCAGTTTTGTTGGTAATGCTTTGATGTTTCGGTTCCTTCGTCGCTCTGTTATACAAACACACCGTTCACGATAGGGTGCAATGTGCACACATCTAATAAAAGTGGTGGTAACGTATGTCTTACAATGACGATACATGTGAATCGACGCTGTATTTTATTATCCCTAATGATTTTCTGCCAGAAATCGCGTGTCCAAAAGCAATTCCGAGCATGCCTATTAAAGTGGTGCGCTATCATAAAGCACATCAATGGGCACCGCAATATGTCATATTCCGCTCTCTGCTATGGTATACCAAGATGCAGCGCGTGCGAGCATTTTACAGAGTGAGCTATCGTTTGCACAGCAGCACAGGTACAAAAGTTTGACATGGTATAACACCATATTATGAAACCTTTGTTTAAAAAGTGCGCAGTTCCGCAGTGGATCGAAACTTCCCTCATGTTGTACAATCTTCCGATGAATATTAAATGTGTCATGACATTCAGGTGCTGTCGCCTATCGGCTGTTGGTTCCAAGGCTCTTCAAGATTTACTCATCCTCGCATCAACGAACCACCTGAAATTTATAGTAGCACCGACTTTTTCCAATGAGGGTGCACCGTGCAAGTATCCCAAGCACCTCGAACACAAAGAGTGCAGACAAATGTTTGGTATTGTCCACATGTCCAATGGCTCAGACGCTTTGTCACAACAGCGCATTTTTGTAGGCAATCGGGATATCGATAGCTGTTCCACCGGCGCCTATTGAAGCCCGGGAGTGTGCTTTTGGAGGTGTTGGTCCTGTCATAAAGTGCCTGTCCGGGCGTTGTCCGCGCCCATCGGTAGCTGTCGATGGCTGTGGAACGTGTGCTGGGGTTGTAAACTTGTAACAAATGGTGGTAACGGGTCCCGCCTGAACGGTTACTCTCACAAATGGCGGCCGTTCCATATATCAATCAATCAATCAATCAATCAATTTTATTTAACATCCCATCATATAGGGACAAAGCATATTGGCATGATACAATACAAGGTGTCTCACACAGTTACACAATACACATCATATTCATGTGACACAAAGACGTACAAACAGCTGTTCCATGCAGCCTGTTCAGCGCAAACCAGTAATCCCGCAAACTTTAACAGGAGTGCTACGATGACACTCGTTGGGGTAAGACAAGCATATGGATCATGGCCCAGGCGTCGCCATTGTTCTGGGCCAGTAGCCAGCGCAGTGAGTCGGCAATACCATCCACTCGTCTGGGAGCGCTAATCAGGTCTCGTGACACATGCCCCCCAGCAACTCTCAATAGTGTTTCATAGTTCATCCCACACAGTGAGAGCATGTGACTTACAAGTGAGCCTGGGCAGTGCAAACGGGTCGAATTGAGCGCAGTGTGAGCCAGATCACTTAACAAAACACGACGAAGGCGATGCTCCCCGCGAAACGCGTCCCTGAAAGTATTGAATAAAGCTCGACGGAGAACTTCCTGCACACTCGGAATCCGTAGTGCCGCCAGTAGAGCTGTATGGTGCGCTGTGCGAGGCAAACGCAAGGCCGACTTGATTGCAGTCGCCTGCCAAGAATCAAGACGTAATATGTCCTCTGACCTTAAAAAGCACACAGCGCATCCATAAAGCAGAGCTGGCGATACTACCATACGCCAAAGATAGGCCTTGTCCACTGCAGTCAAATACGAATTGAACATGCCGGCCGGCGTGAGGCCGAAGAAAGCACCTCTTCCCCGGCGCATTCTTGCGCTGATATGGCCTGTAGCCTGTAGCTGCGATTGAAGTTGTACACCCAGATGCTCTGTCTCTTGTCTAAGAGACAAGGTCTGACCACATAAGACCCATCGGGGCACCTGAGCCAGTAGTTCTTTTCCAAATATAAAACAATGACTTTTTGTTAAGTGAGGGTTCGTGTGGACGAATTCTAGCCTAGAGCTCACTGAGAAAGTTGTCACAATGTTAAGCAATTTTTGCAGATTTCGCACGTTATTTGACATCAACAGCAGATCGTCTGCATAGGCCACTACGGGAATGTGATGGCCATGTACCGACGGGCCCAGTCCGCTGTCATCAAGCTGCTGGATCAGTGGCAGCAGGAACAAGTTAGTAAGGCAGGGTGACAAGAGAGCTCCTTGTCTCACCCCTCGGCGTACATCGAATGTGTCTGAAAGCGCTCCACCGAATCGGACTAGCGCTGTTAAATGTGTGTACCAGTACGCAAGGAGAGCCCAGCTCCGCGGAGACAGATAGTCGTTTGTCCTCAGTAGGACGCCAGAGTGCCATATGCGGTCAAAACATTTTCGGGCGTCCAGATTCGCAACAAACACAGCGCATTTACGAGACAGATAATACTGTGCTGTCTCCTGTACAAGCATGGTTGCCTCTCTTGTGCCGCGCTTAGATAGGAAACCGAACTGAAGCTCAGACGGGCGGAATGTGGTGCCTAACTCTTCTAGCAAAATCAACTCTAGTAGTTTAGAAACTGTGCCTACGAGAGAGATTGGTCGGTAGCTGTCCGCGCAGTTGGGGTCAAGGTCATTTTTCTTTATCAGCGGCACAACTGTGCTTTTCGTAAAACTATCTGGCACACACATTTCGTTTAGGCATGCGGTTAGAAGGCTGCTGAGAGCCTGCAGGAGGACTGGAGAGGACCCGTACAGGAGGTGTTCTGCCGAGACTCCGTCGGGGCCAGGAGACGCGTCACGATTCAACTGTGGTAGCAGACGCGCGACTTCCTCGGCAGAAATTCGCTTACCGGGACCCGGGTAAGCTCGTGCTTCATCCATTAAAGCCAGAACTCGCCTATGCACTCCCTCCTGCTCTGATGAGAGTGTCTCATCGTCGGTGTGAATAAGACCGAAATGGTCTCTGAAGTCCATCGCTGTGAGCGTGGAGCGCCATACAGCCGATATACCATACAGCCGATTGCTACAAACGGGCGCTTTATATGGCTGTGGGTCGGTCGCTTTCATGGTAACTGGAATGAGCGCTGTTCATCTTTCCTTTTCTTCGCAGTTTGCACCCCGCTGTCAGATTTTTTTTTTTTTTTTTTACTTGACTGTCAGATACGTAGACTGAGAAGCAGAGAAGCTAAATTGCTTTGGAGCTTGCTCTTTCTTTTCTTATCACAACAATGATAAGAAAAAGAACATGATTCACTCGTTCTCACATGGTTCACTCATCTAAATTGTTTGCAAAGTTGTACAAATGTACTTAAATTAGAATCGTAAGTGTAGGTAACATCCGCGCTTAGCTGTCAGCTAAGCTGGTGTGCATGTATGCTCACTGACTACATGGCGATGGAATTCGTGATAGTGGACGCTGGACATGTACTAAGCGCCTGGATTGACCAACAGCTCAAAACAACTTTGTCACGCAATTTATGTGTCGTGTAATAAGCGTGTACGTACTTACATACACTGCACAGTTACATTCCTGCCTAATTTCGCTTCGATACTACTCAGGGATAGCTACTCGCCGTTCGTTGTGCTGATAAAACATTCATTCTGCGAGCATTTTAATGTTTAAACAAGCCCAGGCGATAAAATGCAGCACCGTGTGCATTATTCTTTAATCTTTTTACGTTATACATAATTCTTTGTAATTGTCATGCATTCTACACGACTTCACAACTACTTACTTCACAACGATCGTAACCACCACATGAAGTTCAATGTGGCATCGGGCAACGCAACTTTCGCGTTAGCTTATCGTCCGGTGCTCCATTCACGGAATTTAGTGGAATACCCAGACTCTGACATTGACGACCTCTTTTTTAGGAGGACAATTGGGTGTTTGAAGTGAGTTAAAATGACACATGAAAATGTGAAGTGTGCATCACTTCTCGAGTGTTGCTACTTCTCAACTTGTCTTTATTGCAGTACCAGCGTGATTTTTTAACTACAGTCTGGATGTCTCCGTTTCCTTATACGTTTGATGGCTAAGCACATGTGTACCTAAGAGTATGTTTGTGTGTTTTCCCCAGGAATGTCTCGCGGGGTGTCGGCCAGCAGCGCTCGCCGAGCCGGCGGTGGTAGCGTGGTGCGGGTCCGACCGTGCACGGCCGAGTCGGCCAAGAACGCGCTCAACAGCTCCAAATTCAGCGTGGAGTGTCTGTTCGAGGGCCTGCACCCGATGTACCCGCCGACCAACATGGAGAACCAGCACGGGCCGCACTGCAACACGTTCCTGCGCTCGTTCGAGCCGCTCTTCTGGTACTACCGCTGTCTCGGGCTGCTGAACGTGGCCGTTGACACGGACGAGTGCTTTCAGATCACCGTCACCTCGACGGTTGTGTACGTCATCTACTTCTTCGTGCACATGTCCGGCTTCCTGCACTTCATCAAGGGCATGATGGACTGTGTACGGCACGTACAGCACGGCGGCATGGCGCTGTTCGACGCCATGGTGCACACCCACCTGGCGGGCACGATCCACCTCATCACGGTCGGCACCGCCGTCATCACGCTCTACCACGTGCGCGCCTTCCCGGCCTTCTTCAACAAGATCCAGGAGACGGTGACGGAGATGTCCAGCCTCCCGACCACTAACGGCGTGCTGCGCTCGCAGCGCCGGCTGGCGCTCATCACCATCGGCCTGCTCATCCCCATGATGGTGCTGTGGTGCGCCTGCGCCGCGCTGGCCGTCTTCAACGACCGCAAGACCACCGACCTGGCCATCTTCAACCCGTGGTGGTCGTACGTCTACATCCCCGTCATGATGTCCAACCTGGCGCTGGAGACGTTCTCCTTCACCTTCTACCTGTTCTTCGGCATGCTCATCGCCCGCTACGTGGTCTGCATCGGCGAGGCCATGCGCCGTCTGGAGGGGATCGTATCGGCCCACCAGGTCAAACACCTGCACAGGATGCACGTGCAGATCGTCACTGCGCAGCGGCTGCTGCTCAACATATTCGGCACGCACGTGCTGATCGGGATGGGTTTCGCCACGGTGGTGGTGGTGTACGTGGTGTTCCACTCTGTGGAGGTGTACGAGCTGATGGCGCGCGGCACGCCGTCGCTCGTCATGCTGCCCATCCTGGTGCCGCACGTCTGGCTGCTGCTCGTCTCGTGGATGCACCTGTACAGTGGGTCTATTTAAGATCTCCAGAGCCACCACGTGGCGCTACGAACGGGGTAGGGCGAGTCCAAATCCCGAGGGAAGTGAGGTCACCGGTCATTGTGGGGGAAGGAGGGAGGGGGAGTGACGCGGTATCACGGCGCATGGGGCGTGCGTAGCGCCGGGAGTGGGCCGCCCAGGGCCGCCCGCCACTGCGCCGAGGCTGAGGGGAGGGGATGATGGTTGCGGGTGCGTTCACTCCGGTATGGTGGTATCCTGTTCATGTGGAACCGGCAAGAATGCGACTGAAGGGAATCATTATCTCAAACAAACGGCAAGCCAGAGGCAGCGTCAGTTCCAGCCAAAATGTTGAACAATGATAATTGAAATCTAGGACGTATTCATAGCATGCAACTATTCAGTCGATAGTTGCATGGTGTCTTAGGCTTTTCTAAACTGTTATTTGAGTTGGTTATTTTTCATTTGGCACGTTCAGTTTTGGTGGGTTTTATCGGGTCGACAAAAAAATCCGAAAAGAAAGAGTTGAAATGGCTCCAGAAAAATGGCCAAAAAATATTTTCTTTAAAAATGAAACTTAGCTAAACATTTATAAGCGATAATTTTGACTTTTTTTAGAGGATATTGGGGAAAGATGTTGGTGAAAGATGTCATCGTGCTCATCTGTGTTACAGTAGAAGGAAAGGTTTGGTTCGTGTCGAGATAAAACCAGACCCGGGAATGGGGCTCGAACTCACGACATCGCATTCAGCTCACAGGTTACCCAACCTCAACGCTACGAGCACCTATCGCCCTGCGCAGCTTGCTCAGTGTTTCGGCTAGAGTTCGGCCAAAGTGTCTGACGTCTGTCAATGTCACGAGGCGAAACCACAAGGTAAATGTCCGTCCCGGTAGCTCGGTCGGTAGAGCGTTGGACTCCATGTGCCATGTGGTGAGAGCGCACGTCCCGGTTGCAAAAGTCCGGGTTCGAAACGCGACGTGTATTTGACGTTTTTGAGCCTCCTGACGGGTATGGTTGTGGTTGGTGGCAGGCCGCTGCCAGGCGAAGTCAGTGAGGGGACCGGCCGTGCGCGGCTATGTGCGCACGTTAAAATTTGGACTCTAATTCTGCTATAGACCAGGAATTGTTTGATCGGAGGGTAGAGAGCAGGGTCAACGCAACAAGCTCAGCTTAGCGGGGACTCTGTCCTTGTGATTCCTTTCATTCAAAAGGTTCGTGCCAAATTCAATATAAGGGGGAGCCGAACCAGGTTGGGCCGGGTTGAACCCTGTTGGACCGGTGTCTTTCACGCAATCATGGGTCAGGCCAGGGTCAGACAAAACAGAGGCTAATTTCGGGTCAAATATCTTTAGGTATTAACGGATCTTATTATTTTTTGCTTACACGCTTTTAGGTTTTTATAACTCCAGACTTCATGCACAAAAATGTGGCATTCGTCTACTTTTCCTCATCTTCTCTTAGCGACTTGATTTGACCTTAAAGGCCCATCTTATCAGTAAAAAAATCACCTGCGTGATAATTATTTGCCAAAGCTACGCAAGAAACGCCAGCCGGTCAAAAAACTGGCGAACGATACGATCTTTCTATTGCTTGAATTATATTCAATGAAAATTTCAGGAGACATAAATAATATTAATCCTTATAGCTACTGGGCGCCCGGAGCATTCGCTAGCATTGCATTGCCAGCTGCATTACCAACATCACATTTGCATTACTTTGGGTTCATCATAGTTGACAGTAGATAAACCGGCCACAGCAAACCCATGCCTCATTATCCTTTCCTTCCAAGCAGCCAACTGTCAAGCTAACCGGCCGCCCGGCCCACCACCGCGATATGGAACAACGCTGGAGACTGGAGTGCGCCATTTGCCTGCGGCAGTGCCCCACCGCGCCGGGGCTGTTTGACAGGTCAACCGCACCGTGACCTCGCCACCCGCCCCGCCCCCTCGCCCCTCCCCACCTCCTCACCGGGCTCAGCTCGGTAGTGACCTCTCCTTGAATCTCACATGGACTCGACTGAGGCTCAACGCCATCTAGTTTCGTCTGGAGATCCTTACTAGATCCACTGTACATCCCCTGCTACGTGTCGGACATGGCGCGCGACCAGTTCTGCGAGATCATCAACCTGCTGGCGCAGATCGAGACCAACGACGACTCATCCCTGGAGAAGGCGGTGAGTAGAGCGCTCCCGCCCGCAGCGGACGGCTGGCGGCACTGCAGGGCCTCCTTGGTGTGTGGGTGGTCACCACTGTACTCGCAGTCGGGCGATAAAACCAGTAGTTTCATTAACGTATCGGTAGGAAGTTCATTACCAGTCAAAATTATTTAGTTATTTCATGGAAGTGCGCTATAACCAATAAATCATAATGATGCTTTAGAATCCCGTAGTACACCATCAGATGAAGCGCCGTTATGTAAGGTGCTTAACTGTTCTCATTTTTTTCATCGACCTCTCTATATGTAACGCAGTCTCAGACATTTAAAGCATAGGTATCCGACAAGGTCGTCACTCACTGGCAATCATATTAAAAAAAAAACGATAACACCGATCTGCGTAGAGTGCAATTGCCTGCTTATTAACTACAGTGGCATTTTTCATGTGATTTCGTTGTGACTGACATGTTGTTAGTTCAAGGTAGACGTTTCGATTCCGCTTATCGCGCAAATGAAACCTTCATTTTAGCAGTATCTAGCACCTAAACGGGACTTGTGGTTATGAAATTACAAGCGCAGGATAATGCTGAATGACTGTACTGGTATTGGCACCGAATAAATACTGAGTTTAATCGTCCTAAAAAAACATTGTAACCTTCAGCTATGATTTAGGTTGGTGGGTGTGAATCGAATGCGAAAACTGCCTGTTCTGGCGTGAATCACATTGGAAAACTCGCTGACAGCGAAAAGTTCCTGCTATACAAGCATAAAGAAACCATCAGCAGCTGTTGCAACGTTATATAACACAGTTTTGCTGGTGATGTGCACGCTGCACATAGTCTCCTGAGACATCACAGTGATGTCCACCTGTGGTCTCGGACAATACAACATAGCCGTCTTAGACCTTTCAGTGGTGTTCATCTATCTCAGTAAGCCCAGACGTGCCATCCAACATATCACAATGATGTGCACCTTGCCATCTCAGGCATAACAGTGAAGCGTGTGTCGCCGTTTCAGATATCCCGCTACCAGCAGCAGATAACTTGTGACGTGGCGTGATGTGGCCATCCAACACATCACTGATCACAGTGATGAGCACGTGCCATCTCAGGCATAACAGTGAAGTGTGTGTCGCCGTTTCAGATATCCCGCTACCAGCAGCAGATAACTAGTGACGTGGCGTGATGTGGCCATCCAACACATCACTGATCACAGTGATGAGCACGTGCCATCTCAGGCATAACAGTGATGCGTGTGTCGCCGTTTCAGATATCCCGCTACCAGCAGCAGATAACTCGTGATGTGGCGCTGGTGGATGTCGGCTACTTCAAACTCGGCCGGCCAGCTCTCATATCGGTCAGTCTCAACGACGACGGGGATGTAAAACGCCGCTGAATAATGTGTTTATTACAGTGGCGGCGGATTCGATTTTGGCGTGGGGGGGGCAAGATCCCAGTCGAGATAATGTCATAGGCGGATCCAGAAAGGCGTTTTCGACGCTGTAGGGGACATAGCCCCCCCCCCCCAAAAAAAAGTGTCCAAAATCCAAAAACTCCTCGGATTTCGATTCCTTACGGACCCACTGCTGAACAGCATAAAGCAAAAAAAACTGATAAAAGTGTTATTATTAGGAAACATAAGGTACGTTTTGTCTATTTCGGGCGATGCAGGAGCCAGGGGGAGGGGGAGTAAATATTTGCTTTAAATGCCCGCTCCCTGGATCCGCCAGTGGACAATGTAACGCTTTTCGTATTGCTGTATTAGAAAAAAGCTCCAATGGGAAAAATTGTGCCATAACCCGATCGCATATCAGATGTTGAAGAACGGTGCCAAGCCTTTTGAAGTAGGCGAGCGCTATTCTTTGCAATGAGGTAACTCGTTACCATTTCCTCTGTTCATTTTACGTTCGATTTCCGTTTAACCTTCCTTTAAAAAGTATTTCTGAGACAGATATCAACTGAAACTAGCTCACAGCGGGAGGAGACCGCTCAAACATTCAGAGACAGTCGGTCGCATCTAAACCTATTGGGACAGCGATCCGCCAGAAACCCTCCCCAAGGCAGTAGTTCGCCAAATAAGCTCACCGAGACGGGCTGTCTCGATGGGTTTATACAGTAAGCCTACAGCGAGGCTTAACTAAGGCCCAAACGCTCGTCAAGCTAGGAACGGAGGGTGAGGGAGCGCGGCGGCGGGCTGAGGTGAAGGAACGGTGGACTGGAACAAGAATCCAGAAGATCTGGGTGGGGCGTTTCTTTATTAGGGCTTCAGGGTGTGCTGACTGCGGTAAGGTCCAAATTATCACACCAAATTTTGCCACGACATCTACCGGTTCACTTCAGGCACTCGAGAATCAGTGGCCAGTGATATCTGCAAAGACGAAGTATTTCCAACCCAGCTTCAGCCTGGTGTCAGGGCGCCTCAGGTGGCTTTAATTACAGTTGCACATACCAAACGACCTCAGTGCAGCCAGTCTGTGGCCGATACCATTCGGAACAGACTTCAACGAAAAGTGAGACAAGGTTAGTGCTATCGTTAAGTGCCATTATAGACTTGGGCCCCGTTGGCTTGACCCACTGGAAGGTGGTAGTTATCGGACGCTGCGGAGCATACTCATTTTTCCAAAATGCCTTAGATTTTGCTTTCGTGTTCATAGGCGGCGGAACGGGGAGGGCACCGGGGCACCGTGCGCCCCTTTGATTTTGGCATTTTAACGTTAGCCCTATGGGCGTTGCATGGAAAGAATGGGACCAAAAGTCGGCAGTGCCTTAATTGAAGGTGTTCCGTCGCTACTGTTCGTGTTTGATGCTCTTTATTCTATAGCCAGCCTTTAGACAGAGGGGGGGGGGGACTAATGATCAGTGCCATAACCCTCAAAAGTTTCCGTCATTAATTTTTGCTTTTTTAATTGTGAAAACTGAAATAAAGCGGATACTAAACTGTGAACATCCAGTTTTAACACTGGCCCCACACAAGCCTCCGAATGCCCAAAGCAGATCTCTGATGACTGGCCTTTCGGTGTCATACCATACCGTCAACCGTGCATCGGTCAATGTGGTAAATGTGTACGACCTCGGCGCCGTTTACCATTTTATGCGCTGGAAACTGTTGCGATTGAAAAAAAAATCAGGCGAGTGGCTTATTATGAGCGCTCATCAGCCCTAACTACCCGCAAGCGAATGGCTAGCCCTTCCCTCTCCGATCGCTTACGATTTGGCATTTATGTGGCAAACGACCACTGAAGGTATGAGTTGCGTCTCTTGCACACTTAAAATATCTCTAAATCGAATCTAAAAAGACAAAAAAATGATATAAAGCGGAAATGGTTAGCATTTACACATACCTATTCAAAAGGCACCGTTGGACAAACTGTAGGAGCGCATAGCTGCAATATCAGGTTATGGAAAGTTGCCTCATGTTTAGGGCACAAATTATGGAGGGGCAAGAATATACGTTTGACCCTCCTCCAGAAGTTTCTTAGGGGACGATGCCTCCTCTGCCACCCCGTATCTGTCGCCCCTGTAAGCGGTCACTGAAGGCCTGGGTTGCCGCTGCGTCACGTTGACGCTTATAATGCCTCCAAAACTAGGTTGAAGAGATGAAAACTTCAATTGAACGCGAACGCTTGCCATTTAAGAAAGGCAACGTATGAAAGTATATGGGCATCTGGTTACATCTTCAGATGATCGAACAGAATAACCAGGTATATGGTTTCTTGTCTAAGCTTTGTCACAAATTATGGGGGGGCAAAAAGATACTTTTGCCCCCCCACGATTTTGCCAGGGGGGGCAGCTGCCCCCCCTGCCCCCCCCGAATCCGCCGCCCCTGGTTTATTATATCGCTACATTACTCTTTTAATGTCCGCAATGAGCTTCTCAACATTTACTGTTGCATATTTTTGACAGTGGCGTTGTCTTTGTTTCAGGCCTTTTCCACGATGTTCACCTATATTTTAGTGCTGTTTGCAATATGGAAGAAGTAGGAAGATCTTCAGGCCATAAGACGCTCTATGAGTATCGTTGTGATATTTTTTGATTATTTTACTGCATTGCTGTCACTGTGTGGCTTAAGACGTGTCAATAAATACTCATTTCATGTCTGTTATTGCTTACCCTATGCATATGTGAAACGGGATCTTGTTTTATACATGCCATCCTTGAGCACGAATAATAATGTATTTTCCGAAATGCCTCAGGTACGTTTTCATGTTGAGATATGACTTGAGTGTCATTATTAAAAACTTTTCCTCAGGATCTGTGTTAAGGTTGAAAAGTGAGTGCCTATACCTATTCAGTTTTATTGTTGCTTTGGAACGCGTTGGCTTAGTGGCAGTAGATATAATTAAAACAATTAGGGAATGCGTTAAATGCGTTGCTGTTGCTAGAACGGCGGTGTCGCCCGTCCACGCTGAAGATATTATCAAATTGTTTTAAATAATACTTCACATACCAATCAAGCATTTAATGAAACATGACAGGTAGTTAAGTATACGGTACGAAGTTCCATGCAGGCAATATGCACTATTGAGCGCAACGAAAAACATATATCGCCATCGCCAAGTAAAAAGGGCGTATGAAGGCCGACCCCGCAGTGAAGGTCGTAAACTAACTCATTGTTTTCAAAACTGAATGCGGATGTTTGATGCCACGGCTGATGTTGTGTGCAGGAAGCCGTGGTGTTTTAGGTGTCAGTTTGGTATGCACTATGCAGCGCTGCTGAGTGGGCCAGCTGATGATAGTGGGGAGGAGGTGACTGACTCGTCCAGGGCCCTGTTTCACCGGTGATAGCAGCACGCTGCTATTCCATTTCGCGAGCTGACCTCACACTTCTGGTAGTGTTGGAGGAATAGGCTTGTTGACGTCTCCATGAAACCCAATTTGACACGTGTAATGGCAGCGTGGTGCTATCACCGGTGAAACAGGGCCCTGTTTGCAGAAGATTTACTGCGCCCTTTTCGCGCTTCCCCTCCCCCTCCTCTTAACTGCACAGGTCATGCTAAGAGGGAAAAGAAACATAATGCATAATTACACTCTTCTACCCTACTGAAATGCTTCGGTCTGGAAGTTTGTGTGTTTTTAGATGTACTTCGAAGCTGCATATTAAAATACAGGTGTTACTTGTTACTAATTGCTACAGCCTTCCAGTCTTAACTCAGGGTTAGATCTAGGTATTATTGGCATATTCCATGGGAACCAACTTTTATACGCTTGCCCATACAGTTTTACAATAATTCGCTGAAGAAAGATAGCACATCGAGGCCGATCCCAAATACATAAACATCTAGCTCACATGCCATAACCCAGATTACATATTTTTTTTATTCTTGTGTTTAAAATTTCAGTTGTTACGGACCGACATGATTTCTGTACAAATAACTGATTTCAGTAGGTACCTACAAAACCTTATTCAATAACTTTTGCATTTAGTTATCTTTTCTCGACGAAAGGTATAAATTACGTCTACATGACTTGTAGGTATAAAATTGCAGTTAAGTACGATTAGGTCAAAAGTTATTGTTTGCCTGCTGTCAAAGCAAGCGTTGCGTTCCGGAGCGGGGAGGATGACTGATTGGTCAGCTGACCCGAACGGTCAGTGATGGGGGGGGGGGACGGTCAGTGATAGGGGGAGCGGTCAGTGATGGGGGGAGCGGTCAGTGATGGGGGGACGGTCAGTGATGGGGGGAACGGTCAGTGATGGGGGGAGCGGTCAGTGATGGGGGGAACGGTCAGTGATGGGGGGGGGGGGATTGGTGACAGCATCCGGCCGGCCGGGACCGGATCAGGCGGGAACGGTGGCAGTGGCTTCCTTGACGGAGCCGGCTCATTAGCTGTTCTAGATCTATACGTACGTACATACGTATACCTATCCTACCTAGTACCTATATATTACAATATATCACATCGGTCATTGGAAAGCAGCCTTGAGGTCAACAATTTGTGTCGACCTCTATGCTTTGATACCCAGACTGCTCGCATGGGCGTCAATGTATGTACAGGTCTCGCGGGTTTTAACGGTAGGTCGCTCGGCGAGCGGGAGGGCAACCAGTTCCGCCTCTGTATCGGTGACAATTTGCTCCGCCCAGTTACTCGCGAGTGCGTACTGCGACACATAGTAAAGTGGGGAGGGAAGGGTCAGGGTGGCAGCCTACGTAGAGGCTAGAACCGGTTTCTATCGTCTGGGGGGGGGGGAGGGCGACACGGCATGTGGTCAGGGGACGGGGAAAGGTCAGAGGTCACTCACAATGTGCAGTACCGCGCTACGCTACCGCGTCCCGTCCTCTCTGCGTGCTGACTAGCGCACGACTTCGGCCGTTGCTTGGCCAATCGGCATTGAACGGTCAAGGCCACACGTAGCCAGCGGGCGGAGTGAGCCGGCAGCGTGCCGATCCATAGGTAGTCGTTCAAAGTTTTAGCCGCTTACCATTGAGGCCGGGAGACGACTGTAATGTTATTTCTTGGGAACAGTTCTGTCACTTAACCCGCGCCCCGTTAGGGTCTACCAAGCATCGGTCCCATTGGGGGGGGGGGGGGAGTATTTGCCCCCACCCCCTAAGATCTCGAGAACCACGCAAAATAGCGACAAGCAGCAAACGGTGTTGGATGGCCCCAACGAGGAAAAATCTTTTGGCTCAATTTCATTGACCTCAGTCAAACCGATGACGTCACAGGTCAGGTCAAATGTAGAATTTTCACGCACGGTTAACCCTCACGTTTACAAGCATTTCAAGAAATGTGTTGCAAAATCGAGTAAAATGCATGTCGTTAATCGATAAGGAATCGATGAATGACAATATTCGATTCGCCAAACACATATTTTGCTATTTGAGGTCACTGATAGGGGCCAGGTCAGGTCACAGAGGTCAGGTCACTGAGGTTCACAATATGAAAATAACTATTATGTGATGCATGTTTCCTGGTCCATTTTAAATGACCAGTATAACGCCTTTTGGGGCGACTAACGGAGCGAGCGAGAGGGTGGGCCTTGCACGTGCGAAATTGCGAGGGGGTACCTCCAATTGACTTGTGCACGGCACCCTACTAACTGGTCTCTAGCGATGTGCCAAATTTGAGCACAATCGGCCCAGCCGTTCTCGAGATCTAGAAGCGGCACCCTGCACGTGCGCACGTGCAAAATGGGTCCCAACTGACTTGTGCACGGCACCCTACTAACCGGTTCCTAACCGTGTACCAAATTTGAGCGCAATCGGTCCAGCCGTTCCCGAGATCTGGAAACGACCCCTGCACGTGCGCACGTGCAGCAGCACCCCAACTCTGGCACATGTATATGCAGTGCCTAGTGGGTGCCTACCTACATGCCAACTTTCAGCGCAATCGGCCCAGTAGTTACCGAGATATTGCAACAATTGCAAAAGTGACACCTCTTCGTTTTGCACGTGGCACGTGCATAAGGGGTCACCCACATGCATCGGGAATAGTGCAATACTTGGTAGAAGGAATGAAGCTACCCTACAAAAATTACCGCATGTAAATCGGTCAAGTGGTTGCTGAGATATAAGCCTCGCAAAAGCGTGACCACGGCCGGCCGGCCGGCCGCTCATACTCAGAAATTTCCGTTAATCTAAGGAAAGACTACGCTCGCTTCGCTCGCTCCGTAACAAATGCGATTATGTGGGTCAGGCAACCTTTGGGGCCAGTTTAGGTTATGTTCTGGTGAAGGTCAAGTGAAGCTCAGGTCAAATTTGGCCAAATTTCTAATATGATATTTTTGCATAAAATGGGTATCGATTCGATGCAGCTCGTCACGGGAAGGCTAATGGTGGTCTTTGTTTTGCGCTACGTGGTCTGGAATTGCTAAACATTGAGTTAAATATTGACGTAATCAATTTTGAACTTTTGTTTGCTAAAACTTGGCCAAAAAAGGAAGTATCGATCTACAATTTGTTATGTTGATCGAAGAAAGCAGGGACTATTATATATATATTCCGCTTTTTTAACTCGAAAACTTTTTTTTGTTATTTTATAACAGACCAATTTCTTATTTGGGGGTCAAAATCTCAAAAGTTTGAAAATCCCAGATTGCAGTTTTTAGCGCCGTATTTACTCTACACGACCAGATAGAGAGCTTTGATTGAAATTGCTTGTTAACTGTAGCTTTTATGAGCGTTTCAAGATTTCGTGTTTTTTGCTCATTTTTGCTCGAACATGACCTCAGTTTGACCTCAATAACTCCTAACCTAAGGTAACCTAAGACTTGTAATTTTGTGAGAAGGTGTCAAATTGATTCCCGGCAAGCTACTGAAAATTTGGCAGGGCTGCGCGCCGCCGTTTTTTTTTTTTGCTTTTCAGGAAAATACACAGGAAAATATATTGCCCCCCCCCCCCCTCCCAACGGGGTGAGGGTTAACCGTGACCTGCTGAGGCTGGAGGTCGTTTCACACAAAGTTTTGTTTTCTGCTGCACTATATTTCCAGAACCTTTTCACGAAACTACCAATAAATATGTTGCATGAATGAAATTGCAGTATTATTAAAAGGATACCAGGCGTAAGAGTTAAAGTAACATCACTGTATGCTGATTTTTTTGCGTTATTTTTAGAACAAAATCGAAGTGAGCAACTAAAAAAGCAAAACATAACATTGTTTATATATGTAGGAATATGCCATAACTCGCACCAATACCGGCGTTTTCGCAGGCGCTAACGTTTGACGGGGATGGATCAGACCCCACAGTTAATCGGTTTTTGATCAAACTAGAGCTTCTTGAAAAGAAAGAGCATGTTGCACGTGACGAGAGGAAGCCGATGATACCCAATTCATAGATCATAGGTCATTCGTTGACCATGATCATACGTTGACCTTCCAAGTCAGTTTAATGACCCAATAGTCGGAGGGGTCTAGACCTGCCTTGAAGTTTTTGTCGTGAGCTTTTTATGAAGCTTTCGGTATAAGAGAGAGAGAGAGAGAGAGAGAGAGAGAGAGAGAGAGAGAGAGAGAGAGAGAGAGAGAGAGAGAGAGAGAGAGAGAGAGAGAGAGAGAGAGAGAGAGAGAGAGAGAGAGAGAGAGAGAGAGAGAGAGAGAGAGAGAGACAGAGAGACAGAGAGAAAGAGAGAGAGAGAGGGAGAGAGAGAGAGAGAGAGACAGAGAGACAGAGAGAAAGAGAGAGAGAGAGAGAGAGAGGGAGAGAGAGAGAGAGAGAGAGAGAGAGAGAGAGAGAGAGAGAGAGAGAGAGAGAGAGAGAGAGAGAGAGAGAGAGAGAGAGAGAGAGAGAGAGAGGAGAGAGAGAGAGAGAGAGAGAGAGAGAGAGAGAGAGAGAGAGAGAGAGAGGAGATTATGCGAAGTGCTCCATGGGATGACCAGAGTTGGCCTCCCGACAAGACAGAG